ACCAACTATGCCCTATTGGTGTACTCCTACTATGGTCATAGATTTCTTAGCGAGACATTTATCAAAGTGTAATGTGATAACTCCTTTAGCATATAAGGAATAACATGTCCTATCTTAGTCATACACCTACCTCCATTAGATTCCTAGTGCACCCAATGAGTAACCCATTAATGGGTCCATCGAAATGAGTGTCAAAGTGTATAAGTCCTCCAATGAGATAATCGTGATGACTTCAAGTTTAAGGACCATTTGTACCCATCTTATATGAGATTCCTATAGACTAAAACCAAATGGGTTATCATAATAAGTCAAATCTAGTGATATGTTCTCTAACATAAATCACCTAAGCGCTTTGCTTTGGCATCACCATGGCAATAGGTGTGAGATCTCCTACTGCTATCATATAGCATGAGCATAGCACTCACAAGTCTATCCGTAGTTGTCAATGTCCATTCTTAATAATGCTATGACTTGGGACATTTAATGATATCATTTATGTGCATTAGTGTTTTTCTCACATCTTTTGATCAATCACTATTGCAAATGCATATCATAAGGACTTCTATCTAATTCTATTGAACATGTAAACAAAAGAATTAACGGAATGACTTCTTTATTATTATCAAAATAAATAATACAATGATACATCAACTTAAGCCCATCCATACATGGTTGGATCTTAGGCACCTACACTAACACCTGTAATAGTGAACCAATTGCCAAGAGGTCACCCTGTCTCGGTGAACCAATTGTCAAGAGGTCACTCTATCTTAGTGAGCTATTTGCCAAGAGGTCATCCTGTTTTAGTGAACTAATTACTATGAGGTCATCCTGTAATAGTGAACCATTTCCTAAGAGGTTACCCTATTTTACTAAACCATTTGCTAAGAAGTCACTCTGTCTTAGTGAACCATTTTCTAGTAGGTCACCTTATCATAGCTAACCAATATATCTCTGTTCAATCATATCTCTTTTCCATAAGTCATTCACTCACAAACATCCAAATGGTCACCTTGTCGAGATGACTAATTTTTCTAAAAAATTCTAGGCAGATCACCTTGTCGAAATGACCATTCTTTCTCTTAGGAAGATCATCCAACATTCTAAGAGGATTTGTATATTTCTTCACCCAATGAGGGTTTGTATAGTTGATTAATTTTATTTTTAAAACCAAATCACCTCTAAGAAGGTTCGTATATTTGATTGATTTTCTTCCCAAAAGGGATTGTACATTTGATTGCTTCACTCTACTCTAAGAGAATACATATATTCATGTATTTCTAAACATCAAATCACCCTAAGATGATTTATATATTTGATTCATTTCAAAAATCAAATCACCTTAATATGGTTCATATATTTGATTTATTTTCAAAGTCGAATCATGCATATATGGTTTGTTTCTTTGAATTTGTCATTTTTATCACATTTCTTCTTTACAAGCTCACTAAGTCAAGATGTTCGAAGACTTGTTTTCTTACATCTTTGACGCATAAGAATTGTAAAAAAAGGTAGCTATCATCACCCTATTTTTACCTCCATAAAAAAAATGGGAGGAATTGGGCCTAGATCGGGATTGAAAAAAAAAAAACGGCCCCAAATTAGGGATTGGGCTAAGCTCGATTACAATAGGAAAAATCCTAGGTTAACTCTAGAATTAATCCTATAAATACTAGGCATACGCACATATAAAAGGGGAAGGACTGCCACATAAATAAAGAAAAACCTAGCAGACCAAAAAAGAGACAAAACAACGACCATAAAGATCCGACCACCATTTGTTGCTGTTTATCTCCTATATAAAAGCACCGGACCAAAAGAAGTTTCTATCCAAGATGATTCCAACCTAAAAAAAATCACTTAATTCCATTCATCGAGGAAACCGAACTTGTCGTTCAAAGTTTCATCGTTAGTAATGAACTTCGGATCCGGGAGACAAAACAAGCGATCACAAGACCCAACCATCGCTCACCACTTATCCATATCTTATATACACTTGCTAGACCAATAGAAGCTTCTATCCAATATGGTTCTAAACCCATAAAAATTGCTTAATTCCAATCACCAAGGAGGTCACACTCGTCGTTCAAAGGTTTGTCATCAATGGTGAACTTCGGATCCTGTTTAGTTTCCAAAGTACTAATTTAGGTAATAGCAACTCTGCACTTTCATGTTTATTATATGATTTTCATCCACATTTTATGATTTTTCCTGATTTTTTTTATGTGTCATATGATAGTAATGTTAATTATATGATTGATGATGAATACCGAATGCAAAATGTTTGATTAAGGGTGTAATTGGCAAATCTCTAAACTTGAATACTAGGTCGGATCTAAATTCGGATGCTAAATTGGGTTAGGAATAGTAGATAAGAATGTTTTTTTTTTTTTTTACGAAGTGGGCACTAAACTAAATATTTATTTTCTCCTTATTCGGTTTCTTTGCTCGTTCACTCTTACGAATAGAAACTTGAAACCCTAATTGGTAGTTTCTATTTTAGAGATCTCTTCATTCTCTATCATTCAATCATCAACAAGAATAAGCAAACAAAACCTAACGAGCAACTACATGTCGCACCTACAAATGTTGCATGAAGTTCACAAACATTAGTTATTTATGTATTGAAGAAGAAGCAAGAAAAAGCCTAATGGTAGTGGTCTCTTACAATAAGAGGTCATAGGTTCAAATTCTAGTAGACTAGTTCTGCTAAGAGCATTGGATGTGTGAGTAAAACAAAATAATAATAATAAAAAGCAAGCAAAGACTCGGGTGCCTAATAATTTTTTTATTTCATGTTTATCTTGGATATATAATAAATAAATAACCTTTTTTTTTCTTTTTTTTTTTGCGAAGTGGGCACTAAACTAAATATTTATTTGTCTCTTGAATTTGATATTATTGACTTTAGATACTTTCTCCTTTTAAATCTAATACAAAAACAAAAGAAAACCTACATTTTAAGTAAAACGCTTACCGGATGAATAATAAGTCTTTCAAAATCGAGTAATCGAATTTTCCACAACCAAAACCAAGTCGATCGTCGCCACTTTTTGGTTATTGTGGTTAGTTGCCGTATGTGAGAGATAATTACCAAGTCATTTTTTGACATGTAAGAGAAGTGATCCCACACCGTATATATCAAGGGAAAGGTTGGCTAATGGACGAATGTTGTTTAACTCAAAAGTTTGTTATTAAATATGCTTGCAATGCTATCTCTATTGAGTTAGGAGATAAGGGAAAAGAAGCAAAATGATTAAAATAATAGAGGAAATTTTTGTCATTTGGAAAGAAAACTTTGCTATTAAACACCCTTGCAATGCCATTATATGAAACAAGTATGAGATAGATGTATGCAAAACAAAGCTCATTCTATCCTACAAAACCAAGAATATTTGTAGAGTATCTCATTATCATTCAGTTGATGTATGGAAAAGGTAACAGTTGACAATGCATCTATTTTTAGTTCCCATACTTTGCGTTTCGAAGCATAAGCATAGCTGTGAATGTGATAAAATATCATATAGTCCAACTCTGAGAGGTCCATTTAGTGTTTTGCCTTGGTAGCACATAACATGATTCAAATCATTCCAACTCCCAAGGCTAAGCTACTTGACTAATGAAATCCTTGGTAGTTTTCTTTAATGAATAATGTTACTTTGTATGAATAGCAAGAATACGTGGTAAGAACAGATTCTCACACACTCATATAAGCACACACAAATCATGGGAAATGTGAGTGTATGAGAACCTATTCTTACAAAATAGAATTATTCTTCATTAATTTAATGCTTTGTTCAAATTCAAAGCATTCTTGAGTACTATTACTAATTATTATGGATATAACAAATCAAGTGAATGGTATTTATCCACTTAAGCTTCTGAACTTTAGTGCTTGTGCCTGGCAAAATTGTCACCTTTATTTGTCATAAATGGATGGAGCTATATTAGAATTAGTATTTTAAATGATTGGAATGTTGCCCATAAACAAGCTCAACGTTACATAGCACCTGATCAATATATGATAGAAATTAGTTCGTAAATTTATTTACTTAAGTTTTTTTGGTGTGCATCAAAAAGAGAAAACAGGTTTTCTTTCTTGTGTTCATATTTTCTGTTGCTTTGACTCCCCTAACCTGTCCAAATTACTAGCCTTTTCTGGTTTGGGCGATGGAACTGAAGGATTTTATTTCTCTACCATTGCGAGTGCATAGTTTGTGAAGACTGAGTTACCGCTAAAAGTCATGGGCACATCAATCAAAAAGCTCAACGTTATTTACCAAATGGGCATGAATTTGGCCTCTAAATTAATATGAAATATCTTGATATTTCATATTAGCTCTCTTATGGATATGTAATTATTTCTTGAATCTTCACTTGGTTTTATTGTGTTTTGCAATGACCAGATTTTCGAGCAATCTAAAGGCAGTAATCATCATTGCCAGTGGTGAGAAAAATAGGTTCAAACATATTCTCATTATTGGGCAAATAAGGTAATTGAGAAATTTCTATCCAAAAGCAGAAATGATCATTGCTAGTAGTGAGAAAACTAGGTTCAAACACATTCTCATTATTTTACAGAGTTCTTCCTAAAGCCTACCTTCACAGGTGATGACAAAGTAAATAATTCACTACGTAAGACGGCTCAAAACATCTCTAGCTCTCCTTCCATTAGTTTTTCGAAAAAGGAAATTTGAACAATGTGTGAAGTCAAACTTTGACGCTTTCTTGCTTTTGTGAGGCCTCAAATACGAAGATTGTCCCAGCAGATTTGAATTGCAAATACCTATGAGGGAAAATTCAATTGTGAAGTGCATAATCAAAAGCAAGAGACAAAAAGCAATTCTCAAGGCAAAAACCAATATATGCATACCAGGCCAGGATCAGAAGCCAAAGGAAAACTGAAGCAAATTGAAGAACAAAGTTAGCAGTAGTACCTTGTACACCTTAACCTTCAAAAATTGCACCAGTAGACTGTGATGAACTCCTTTTCAACTATACTAACTCTCTTCATCCACAAGAATAGTTGAATCATTGCCAATTCCAATGTCCATCAAAGTTGCCATCTCATCATCAAGCAATATAGGTAGAGGAGAACCCTGCATTTTTATTTTTTCACTTTGAATTAGTACTTGATGTTTTTTGTTTTTCAAAGCTAGAGGAAAGTTCAAAGGAAAAAAGAACAAAAAAGAAAAAAATTTATTGCTCCCACTTTTATTTTCTGATTATATCTTATTAAAATAAATGACTCTCTCCCTCCCCCTTCCTTCCTAATATAGCAAGCAACCAAGCAAGCAATAGCAAATTTTCTATGTTCTCCTTTTTCTTCAGTTTCATTTTCTTCTTTTCCCCCTGATAAAAAAAAAATATATTTTAAGGGACAAAGGGGATGCAGCCCAAAGAATATTAAAGAAGCTCATACAAACGATAAATCTTTCTTCTTTATAGATGCAAGAAATCCTTGCCAATCTTTTCTGTAGAAGAAAAATGGAAACGGGCTAAGCTTGAAAAATACAATCTGGAAGCCTCTTAAAGGTTATGACCAAATGCAATGAGAATCTAAGCCACTCTACTCGATAACCAATAACCAATATACCGAGGGTGTTTATCATCATAAACAGAGATCATGATCATGACGGAGAGATGTAAAGACAAACCTGTTCTTGAAGAAACAATTTTGGCCTGATGGACTTGAGCTTGAAAAAACTTTCACAAAGAATCTTTAGCTTCCCAATCTAGAATGGTTTACATACTTGAATTAGTCTTAAAATATCCACTCACACATGTTGCTTCAGAGAAAAGGATGGGAATATCACCATAGTAGCAGCTGGCAGTTTCTTTGTAAGTGGAGGTTTCTCCCCAATGGATGCAGCCACAGATTTGAGGGTGACAGCTGCATTTTTATTATATTGTTTAAACATGTATACAGTCGGCCAACTCCATAAAACTATTGAATAAGAAAATGTAAGGATACATACACAGGAGCCCAGAAGCCATCTTCTGTGGACCTGTTGTTCCAACTGATGGCCTTTCATCCTCAATGCCATGAAAATTCTTCAGCTCAACAAACCTATAATCAAGTCAAGGCTGATCGTAAGCAGGAAGGAAGCTGTGATAAGGCCCAGATCAGGTGGGTCTATAGCAGAAGGAAGAAGAAAGCAGCAGGGGAAATAACAAATTAAAGCACTGGGCTACGGAGTTCTCTGTTGAGCTTTGAATTATGAGAAAGGAGAATATTGTGCTGCTGGTTGGCTAATTTGTCAGGTTCTAGAATATGCTGACGTGGTCAATTCTGTTACAATTCTGTTTCTCTCACGTCTGTCATGCTTCTGTTATGCCTTTGGCATTTTCTTATTTTTCTTGTTCTTATATAGGGATTAGTGAGAGGGTGAGGGGACGATTGAAGAACATTCTGAGTTGTGGGAGGCCATTGGGTCAGGGAGTGTGGCAGTCACTCGAATACTGCTGATTTTGTTATCCGCCATCATCAATAAAAAGTCCTCTCGTCATCCCTCATTTTCACTGTTTCATTACTTTTCTTTGTTATTCTGTTCTGAAATTTCCAGGTTCTTATCATTTGGTATCAGAGCAGTCCTGAGCCTCGAGATTGCTTATGACCAAAACCAAAATGGAGCAACGAATGGAAAAAATCGAAGCAGAAATCCTTAAGCTTCCAGGTTTGGATAAACAAATTGATGATATGAGGACAGAGTTGAATGGGTCAATCGCCGCCTTATTCCAGAAACTGGATGACACTATGAGACTTAGGGGAAAGGAGGTCAGTGCTGAAAGAAGTACCCCGGGAGAACCAAGCTTTACCAAGTCTGCAGCTGAGACGCCGGAATCCATTAAATCCGGAGCTGAGGTCATGTTGGAGAAAATGGTGGAGAAAGAACAACAACCTCGAAAACTGGATTTGCCCACTTTTGGTGGGGAAGATCCAGATTCATGGATCGTCAGAGCTGAGCGTTACTTTTCTGTGAACAAGTTGAGTGAGGCTGAGAAGCTAGAGGCAGCGGGGGTGTGTTTTGAAGGAGAGGCTCAAGCTTGGTTACGGTTTGAGAAAAGGGAGAAGCCCTTTGTTTCTTGGGAAGAATTGAAAAATCAGATACTGGTAAGGTTCTTGGGCCCTGAGGGAGGGTCAATGTTACATCATTTCTTTGCGATGAAACAAACGGGAACAGTAGCAGAGTACCGTGCTCAGTTTGAAATGTTGGCAGCTACAGCAGGGAAGATCGAGAAAGCCACAATGACGGTAGTCTTCGTTAATGGCTTGGAGGAGAAGATTAAGCAGAGCTGTTCATGCTTAATCCTGTTGGGTTGAAGGAGACAACGGCGGTGGCAGCAAGAATTGAAAATAAGAACCTAGTCCTATACCCTCAAACCAATCCCAAAAAGGCCCAAACAGAACCCAGCTCAATAACCACCAAATCAGACCACAAAACAATCTCATGGACTCCAAACCGTTCTTATAACCCAACAACACCAAAACCTTATACTCAGAATACTACCCAAACCCATTCATTCCAGAAGATACAACCCAACCAAACTTTTACGGGGTCAAACACCTCAACCTTTTCCACAAACTCACGGTTCAAGAGGATTCCAGATGCTGAGGCACAGGCTAGGAGGGATAAGGGATTATGCTATCGCTGTGATGAAAAATGGTATGTTGGTCATCGATGTAAAAACCGAGAGCTACACGTTATACTCGTTGGAGATGAATTTGATGAAGAAGGGCCGATCACCGAGGCCGGGGAAGAGGAGGTATCGGCATTAGAAGGAGTTGAGCTGTCTCTTAACTCGTGGTTGGGCTGTCATCCCCACGGACCCCGAAGATGAAGAGGGTTGTGGAAGGAACGGAAGTAGTGGTGCTGATTGACCCCGGTGCGACCCACAATTTTATTTCCCGTGTGTTGGTGGAGAAGTTAGGGCTACCCATTTCAACAACTCCTAATTATGGTGTGGTAAGTGGGAATGGAAGCCGATTGAAAGGGGAGGGAATTTGTAAGAGAGTAGTGCTGCAATTGGGGACTCTAACGAGTAGTAGAGGATTATCCGCCCTTCTCGATGAGTAGTACCGACTTGATATCGGGCTTGAAGTGGCTAGCCACATTGGGGGTTACGGTAGCGAGGTTGGAGGAAGCCTTCTATGACTTTGACTATGAATGGGCAGCGAATCGAGTTGAGAGGGGATCCAAGTCTGAACCATGCTTTAGTGTCTTTCAAGGCTTTGGTCAAGACAATACAATCCGAAGATGAGGGAGTGCTACTAGAACTTCACCATTTGACCGTAAGTGAAGAGAACATACCGGACATTGGGGATATCACCATTAGCGAGGTTTTAGATCGGTTCCAAGATCTTTTTTTATCACCCACTAGTCGACCTCCGGAGAGATCCTTTGATCACTCAATCCCTTTGAAGCGAGTACCGAGCCAATCCGAGTTAGGCCCTACAGGTATCCTCACGTCCAAAAAGAAGAAATTGAGAAACTTGTTTCGGAGATGTTACTTGCAAGAATAATTCGACCCAGCAACGAGTCCTTTTTCTAGTCCGAGTCCTCCTCGTGAAGAAGAAAGACGGAAGTTGGAGATTCCGTGTGGATTATCGAGCCCTTAACAAGGCCACCATTCCGGATAGGTTCCCAATCCCGAACATCAACGAGTTGTTGGATGAGTTACATGGGGCCACCGTGTTTTCCAAGCTCGATTTAAAATCGAGTTATCATCAAATCCGAGTTCAGCCTTCGATATCCACAAAACCGAATTTAGAACGCATGAGGGTCACTACGAGTTCATGGTCATGCCTTTCGGACTCACGAATGCTCCGTCAACATTCCGGGCGTTGATGAATGCCATCTTTAAAGGAGTCATAAGGAGTTATGTACTAGTTTTCTTTGATGATATACTCATTTATAGCGCTAAGATGTCCGAGCATTTATCACATCTCCATGCGGTACTAAACATTCTCCATGAGAACCAACTCTTTGTGAACTATAAGAAATGCCGCTTTGGACAGCCAAAACTAGAATACCTTGGGCACTTGATTTCTGCTACGGGGGTAGAGGCGGATCCGAATAAATTGAGAGTGATGGAAGAGTGGCCTATTCCTAAATCCCCGAAGGAGTTGCGAGAGGTTCTTAAGGATCACTCGGTTACTACCGTCGATTCGTGAAGGACTACGGCAAGATTGCAGCACCCCTTACTCGGTTGCTACGCAAAGATTGCTTCCGGTGGACCGAGGAAGCTACCGTGGTAGTGAACAAATTGAAGACAGCTATGAGGAGTGTCCCTATTTTAGCACTTCCTGATTTTTCCATCCCCTTTATGCTGGAAACGGATGCCTCGGGTTATGGATTTGGGGCGGTTATGTCTCAAAATGGGAGGCCCGTCGCTTTCTTCAGCCGAGGCCATTAAACCTCCGGCACGTCATCGCTCGGTCTTTGAACACGAATTGATGGCAATAGTGTTGGCCATACAGAAATGGCGCCATTATCTCCTTGGGCGGCATTTTATTGTTAGAACAGATCAAAGGAGTTTGAAGTTTTTATTGGAACAACGTCGGGTGGTGCCGGATTATCGAAATGGTTGATCAAGCTCCTCGGGTTTGACTTTGAAATTCAATACAAACCAAGGGTGGAGAATAAAGCAGCAGATGCATTATCAAGGCTACCAATGGGGGAGGAACTTCGGGCCATTTCTGTTCCCGTAATTTTAGATTGGAAAGAAATAGCGAAGCGATCCGGAATGATGAGAGGCTACGGGCGATAAGTACTCAACTAAAGGAGGATGGCGTCGCAAAGCCAAGATGGACTTTGGATCGTGGGGTTCTAAAATATAAAGGGAGGATAGCATTGCCGCGCGCCATGAATTTGATTTGCACTCGTGTTGCGGGAATTTCATGCAAGCACACTCGGCGGCCACGGAGGTTTCTTGAAAACTTATAAGAAGGTGGCTGGAGAATTCTTTTGGGAGGGGATGAAGGCAGATATAAAGAGCTTCGTGCAATCCTGCCATGTTTAAAAGTATGATACTTTATCTCCCGCCGGTCTATTACAACCACTTCCTATACTGCAGCACACTTGGGAGGATTTGACCATGGACTTTGTTGAAGGGCTACATAAGTCTCATGGATTTGATACTCTTTTAGGTGTGTGGACAGGCTGAGTAAGTATGGTCATTTCATCCTATTGAAACATCCCTTCACAGCCCGCCGAGTGGCAGAAGAATTCATTACTCATGTGGTCAAATTACATGGTTTTCCACGGTCAATTGTGTCAGACCGGGATAAGATATTTATGAGCAATTTCTGGCGTGAGCTATTTCGGTTGCAGCAAACGTTACTGAAGCGCAGCACTTCCTACCACCTTCAAACTGATGGACAAAGTGAAGTCGTGAACCGGTGTGTTGAGACATACTTGCGTTGCTTTGCTGGCCAGCAGCCTAAAGAATGGTCGAAATGGATTTCGTGGGCGGAATTGTGGTACAACACGTCATTTCATACTTCCTTGCAGTGCTGCCCTTACAAGATTGTGTATGGGAAAGATCCACCCCCAATCATACAGTATGATCAATCTTCTTCCACAACTAATTTTGACTTGGAGGTTATGCTTCAAAAAAGGGATGCGATGTTGCATGAGCTGAAGGAACAGCTATGTAAGGCTCAGAACAGGATGAAACAGGTTGCTGACCAACATCGTCGCGAAGTTGAATTTTCTATGGGGGAAATGGTTTTCTTGAAGCTGCAGTCTTATCGGCAGAAGTCAGTAGCGAAGAGGCTCAATGACAAACTAGCTCCCCGATATTTTGGTCCTTTTGAGGTGGTGGAACACATCGGGAAGGTTGCTTACAAGCTCAAACTTCCCCCAAACTCGACAATGCATCCCATTTTCCATGCCTCCCAACTTAAGAAAGTGCATGGGGACGTATCTACTTTCCAACCTATTCCAGCTGAGATTAATGACAAGGCAGAGTGGATCATTGAGCCGACAGTGGTATTGGATACCAGAGAGAGTCCTATTGGCCGAGAATTTTTTATTTAGTGGAAGAACCTGCCCTCATTTGAGGCCACCTGGAAACCGAAGGCTTTGCTAACAGCATAGTTTCCAGATTTCTGCCTTGAGGACAAGGCAGTTGTTCAAGGAAGGGGTAATGATAAGGCCCAGATCAGGTGGGTCTATAGCAGAAGGAAGAAGAAAGCAGCAGGGGAAATAACAAATTAAAGCACTGGGCTACGGAGTTCTCTGTTGGGCTTTGAATTATGAGAAAGGAGAATATTGTGCTGCTGGTTGGCTAATTCATCAAGTTCTAGAATATGCTGACGTGGTCAATTCTGTTTCTCTCACGTCTGTCATGCGTCTGTTATGCCTTTGGCATTTTCTTATTTTTCTTGTTCTTATATAGGGATTAGTGAGAGGGTGAGGGGGCGATTGGAGAACATTCTGAGTTGTGGGAGGCCATTGGGTCAGGGAGTGTGGCAATCACTCGAATACTGCTGATTTTGTTATCCACCATCATCAATAAAAAGTCCTCTCGCCATCCCTCATTTTCATTACTTTTCTTTGTTATTCTGTTCTGAAATTTCCAGGTTCTTATCAAGCTGCTACTGAACTAATAATCAGCAGAAGTTGCCATCATATTCATTGAGAAGTTTAGTGGCAGTTGAATCCTAGATGAACTAGCAACATCTATTTGGACGAACGTTTCACAGAACTAAGACTACCTGGGATGAAGTTTGATTTCATCTGGATTTTCATGCAACTTTGACATAACTAAGCGGACATATCTGCAATAAATATTCAGAACAAATAAGAAAACCCCTGTAAAATATAAAAAGTAAGAATTGAAATCATCAATATGCAAGATTAAGAGACAGAATGGTAAGAGCACTTGCTATGTAAAAGCATCACATCATTCCTATTAAAGGGAAAAAAAAATTTGGTGCACAGGAGAATATACCGGATCTCAGATTCCTTCCTTTCACGAGTGCTTACCTGAGAGGTGTAGTTGATGATAGTATGTCAGACCCACAACAACCTCACCAAGACCAAAAGAAGAAGAAAAAAAATGGTTACATAGTACTCTGGAGTTTACCTCACTTCCGTTCAAGATTTCAACTTTTGCTAATCGTGCAATCAAAATAAATCTCGGGAAACCACCTCTTCCAGGATCAGCTATTGGATTTTCAGAAAGCCTAACGTCCTTAATATAAACAAGAATTATGAGAACAAAGGCAAATTATCACCATAGAATACAGCATGTGATTCTCAAAATTGACAATTTGGGGGTAAATCGTATTTTGGAATATACTATCACTGAGGAGGTATTTTCTATGTCGCCGATTTTTCCATTCCTGACAGAGTTTAGGCCTACTTTGCTAAGGAAAAACAGTCACAAGAAGAAACTGCATTTTCCTATTAATATCCTCAAAGTAGCAAGCACCAGTAGCTTTAAAAAAATGCAATTATTATTATTATTATTATTTGTTTTTTGGTTAATCAAGAAGTGATTGCATCTTAAGAATAGAAAAAAATGGCAGGACCAGAAAACATGTGGAGGAGGAAGAAACACTCAAACCTTTATGTTGGTCCTGCTTTCAATCAACTAGTTCTCTAAGATAGGACCTTCCATTTTGCCAAACAAAAAACGGATAAAGGGGAGGGAGAATTTCCAAATTTCTCTCCATGACTTGGAAAAATCATAATAATGCATAGACCAAAAGAAAACATATCGAACCAGAAAGGTTGAAGGATAACCACTTTCTATCTACCAGCTTCATCCTTAAAAATGCTTGCTGGTGTCTCTGAGGCAAGAACTTTAGTAGGAAGAGAAGGAAGAATTTCAGTTTCAATGTTACTTACAGTGCTAAAACATGTTAGCAAAGAGCTACAAATTCACATCATAGAGATCTAAATAAAATCCTAAAATGTATCCCAAATATTAGCATTGTTGGACTAAAGTTCTGCACTGTAAAACCACCACTTATCAAAGTAAGATACTATCATCAAACAGGTGATTAAAGTGTGCCTCCGTGGATGTTTTTATATTGGGTCCAAGTTTAAGACATTTGCATGAAATAGGGATGAATTTTTTTTATGGAACCTATTATTTCATTGATATAGGTTTCATGTTCTAACACTCCACCTCTATATGGATATTACCAATAGGCATGTAGCTCATCAATAGCAGCACTAAGTTATATGTTTCCTAATCTGGTATAGAGCAGATTATAAAGATTCACATTATGGAGTATTACCATCAATTTAGGAAATGAGTTTAATGAGTCCACAGAGGCCAGATCCTCAATGTTGTTACCTCCTGAAGCCAAAAAAAAAAATAAATAAATAAAGAGTAAGATCAGAAAATTTTGCATGGTAGATAAAGGAAGCATCATAGCATCAAAGAATTTTTAACTAATTACCCAGAAGAAGGCAACGTAAATTTTGAAAAGGTATACAGCTTTTATCATGAGATTCACAGCCGCTGACCAATTTGTGTATTGTATGATGATCAGGATAAAAGATATGGTGCAAATTGTTCTTGTTTAAATGAAGCTGCTCCAAGCTGCACATAAACCATGTTGTAAATTGTGACAATTATCGAATCCTTAGGCAAATCCAAATTTTAAAATCCTACAATAAAATCGCAGATGGACTAGCATAATCTCTCTCACCTTTTTAATTGAGAAAGCTTTAGGATTTCACTCCATTCAGCTATACAATTATCTTCCAAATTCAGTAGGCGCAAAGAATCAAATCCATTAACAATGGATGAAGATGCTGTCTAGAAAGTGGAAAATCAAATATAAACATGATATTGCAAAATCAAGAGGATTTCTAGCATAAATAATTTTAGAGCTTCATGTAATTTTAAAGGTACATGTAAGACTTGTTAAGCTGCTAATCTACACAATTCTCCAAAAGTAACTTTTAGTCATGAGTGGACAGAAGTATAGCAATTACACGTTAGTCTCTCCAACGGTTGATGTTCTCATTTTCTTCACTCTTGCAACAGAGAATGGGGCTAAAAGGACTACATCCGAGAACAGTTGTACAAAAGAAATCCAGCCTTGGTGGAAGTGGCCAAAACTCCGATAGTGATATGGGTGGGACATAATGGATTTCCTTCAGGAAATTTTTGGATTGATTAGTCAGTTTACCGTTGCATGTATGAACTATGTCCTTATTTCATCCAAAAGGAAATTAATAGGGACAATTTCCGAACATGGATGATCAGACAAATTCAAAAGTAGAGTATGAGTGAGCCAAATCCTGTCAAAGTCAACCTTGATAGAACTCTTAAATTGATTTAAAAAGCTGGCAGTCTTTGAAACGCTATGTGAAAGATAAATGAACCAAAAGTTGAAACATATTATTAATTTTATCCACTAAAGAAACAAAGTAGGATATTCAATATGAAATCTAAGGTGAAAGACGAATGAACCAAAAGTTGCAACATATTATCAATCCGCTTTAGAGACAAAGTAAGTTATTCAAAATGAAATCCTAGGTGAAAAATGAATGCACCAAAAGTTGAAACATATTATCCATCCACTAAGAAACAAAGTAAGATAATCAACAAGTACTACCTTTATTGTATTTATGCCATTTCCCATCAGATGTAGCTCCTCAATTATTGGCAATAAATCTTTAAGCACTTCAATCTGAAACAACAAAAAAATCTTCAATTTAGCTCGAGTTTTTTCCTTAAATTCTTAGATAGGGAAAATTTTTAAAAATCTGATTCACCTGCGTCCAACTTATTCCAGTATTGTTTAAGACTAAAATGCGGATGATTTTTAGTACTCGTAGCTCAACAATCTCATGGGCCATTAAGTTGTTAGACAAATTGAGTGCTGCAAGAGAAGGTAATTGTTCACATATAGTGCCAACATCCTGCAAGATAAAAAAGAGATGAGGGTTATTCAGCAAACAGCTTCACAGTTATTGAGCAGTCATGCAGAAAAAGAAAACCTAGAAAACACATACAAATGCCTCCAACTAAGTCAATTTTAGAGTTGGAAAAAAATATAAAGCACAATCATCATTAAATTCAGAAATGAGCTTTGCGAACTAATTCAATATAATAAAAGAATTATGTTTAAGTGCACTTCAAATATAGTGGAACATTCAACAATTAAAAACTCAATAATGAAAAGTCAAGTTCTTAAAATGGTTTATGTTCCCATCACATACGCTAGAAATGGTTTCTCTTCTAGTCTTCTGCCATCCTTGTGGTGTTGTTGTAGCTTCCCTTCCAGTCAAAGGTGGTGTTCTTTCTGTTGTTGCCTGCGCTCTCCTGCTTTTGCAAAGCTTTGTCTCTTCACACTTTTGTAGGTTTATCCTCTTAGATTGCTTAGTTTTGTCTCCTAGTTTTGTCTCTTTATGTAGTCTATCAGTTTGATTGTGGCTTGTTTTGCTTCCTGTTTTTAGTTTCAGTCATTTTGTTTTCAGTTTCCTTTTCACTTTGTGAGATCCTATGTTCTCTTGTCTGCTGTACTATGCTTTATCCTTGGTTGCTTGATTTTTGCTTCCAAGGTGTTTAATGAATTTCCCTTGGCTTATTAAAAGAAAAAATAGTAGAAATGGTTTGTCATTATTGCTTATTGGTTTCTAATTGTTTGTAATGCATAGCATAACACATTATACTATAACCTTAGCAATTCAAAGAATCAAATCAATATCTTAACCATACAGGAAAGAAACAATAGATATCACACAAGTAGAGATATTCAGTTACAAGCAAATGTACTGTCATATGAGAAAATAAGTCTGGTAATAAAATGATTTTACTTCTATTTTTTGTTAACCAATATTAGCAATTTGAACGAATACTTGAGAAGTTTATTAAAGCAAGCAAGAACTTGACTTTGATAGACATGATAAGACTTAGCAGCTGCACCTCTAAGCAAAAAAAAATCCTCATCTATAGATCCAAAGTATTTAGCACATACAGATGGCAACTAAAATTACTTATAAGCACAATCTATAATGACTAGCTCAAACGACATCAACAGCAATTTGGATCAGCACAATCTAAATTCAGAAAGCATAAAGCAGTACAGGAAATGCAAGTTTCTGGATTGAAAATTTCTCTCCTGTAGAAAAAGAAAGTAGCATCAGATAGGGTGCAAAATATACCTTCCATTCTGAAAGTAAATTTCCAGTCAAGTCCAAGTCCTTCAGATCTGGAAGAGAACCATTAAAAAAGTATAAGCTGTACATTAGCAATTGTATAACTAACCATTCCATATATAAGCTATACAATGCCACTACTCAATTATGATTCTATAACCCCACCAAAATAAGATGCATTAGGAATTTGAAAGTCTCACTTCAACATTTTACACAAGTGGGTGCTTTCAGATCTTGGACGAGGCCAAGACTTTTAGCATTTTACTAAACAATGGCGCCTAAACTAGTAATAAATAAATCATTAAAGGCAGTGAGACAGAATTTGAGAAACCAACTTACTTGGCACTATATTGTTAATTTCATTAGGGGATCCAGGATTGCTAACACCCAAATAAGAAAGTGAAGCACCGGTCAACCCTTCAAGTCTGCTTAGCTTATCTTGAATCTTCTCTTGACCCACAAGTTGTACAGATACCTTTTTGTTACTAGCTGAAAGCACATACATTTCATCTACACAAACACACACATGCAAAAATCCAAACTTTAGTATCCATTAACATTCTTCTCTTTATCAAACACACAGAACATACCTTCTTTTTATATGCACAAAAAATATCCAAACTTTGGAATCCATTAACATTGATTGTCAAACAAAACAACATTCAAAACTGAAAACGACTCAAAACTTAAATACTACACAAAAAGACACATACCCTCTTCTTGCAAGTGAAAAGATTCAAACTCTCCCTGGACATTCTCATTCTTAGCTAAGCAAAACGACAATATCCAATACTAAAAACGACAAAAAAAAAAAAGAAGTAAGTCTGGGCTTATATAGAGAGCAGGCGTACCCTCTTCTTCTTTGGTGGATTGGTCTCTGTATCTTATATAGAGAGCTTCTACAAGCGAAATGCCTGGACTCAAATTCTGGGCCCGAACGAATGATCCAGAAAGTTGGGATCTTGCTTGGAAGTAACGAACTGCATTCAACGATCCGTCATGTTTGGCTTCTCCATTGTCCCAATCGACACCGACCCATGTGCCCGCATAGCCATCCACGGGTCCTATGTACTTAACGGTACCAATTCGGCGTGAATCGGTGGCTGAGTGGACTCGCTGGCCAAGTTTGAAAGGCTCGGTGCATAACTCACTGGAGCTTTGCATTCTTTCGGCGGGAGCGACTCTACTGTTTGTTTCGCAGTTCGCACAGCATCATATAATTTTGCAGCAGATAACAAAGGCTAACTGACCTGTCGTTCACGTCAAAGAAAAGTGTCATCACCTATGACACGTCGTTTCAAATAGGAATTTAAACTTCCAGTTACTATTTCTTCGTACCAAATAACCAAATGTTGATGATCTCTTTTCCTTTCTAGGGTTAGGGTTTCCTTTGTATTGTTGATTTAATTTGGAGCACTCGAGATTTCCATAGATTGCTTGTGTTCCCAGAGTTTGATTAGTTAGATCCTTCTTTCAAGAAAATCAATTGTTGGGTATTGTAAAGCAATTTAGTTTCTTTCATTTTCAAGAATCTTCCAAAAGCATTCAACCTGAACTCGAGCATCCAATCTGGAGGTGCTTCCTAAATAAAGAAATTAAATTTATTTTCTCTTTTTAGAGACCTTTTTGAATAAATAAAAAAATTGTAAATTCAAGCTTCTTGTTAAAGCCACCATCCTCGTACAATCTCTCCGATCTTGTCATCAAAGACTAGTAGAAGTACTAGTTGTCGTTGAATCGCATGCAATTATCTGGATTGTCTTGGTTTGACGTCGGTGTCATAAGTTTTGAGAATTTTTCTCTCAATGAAAGTAACTAGTGCATCGGCAAGGTATCCATCTTCCATTCTTTTTCTAAACCTGTTATTAACCATTTTCATGGTTGAAAAAAAAAAAAAAAACAATTCAGTTGCTTAAATTTAGACGAAAAGAGTTAAAAACAAGTAATTAAACAGTCCTGAAAATAAGAAAAGGAAAAAAAAATTAGTTGTTTAGCATTAAAAATAATTAGAGATTATAGGTAAGGGATTGATTATATATATATATATATATATATATATATATATAAACGATAGCAATTGTTTTTAATGTGGCGTTGGTTACATAAAAAAAAATAACAATCTTTCAATGTTGCATTGCATGCTATTTTAAATATATTTTTTTATTATGCTAAATCATCTATATCTATTCACGTGTGTTTGTCATCAAATCAAAGGTTAATTAATCATAAAAGTCAAGTGATTCAAAATTAAATTGATCAAAAATCTTATCCTTGCTTTTAAAAGTAAACGGACAAAAAACTTGAAAGAAAAAAAAAAAGGGATGAAATCTAATTAATTCATTCAATGGGCTTGAAATCAGTAACATATAGTCGACAAGCCTATCTAAGATCGAAATGGTCCAATCTTAGCATGCTTACTTGCAAGAACAAAGTTAAATAGATAATCGTTTTGAAAAATACATAAAAAATAATTCATTTATCGATAAAAATAACCAAACCAATAACAACACTATAAATCATAATATCACGAAATCTAACAAACCGACAACGATATCGATATCACATATTGTAAAATCATAAAAGGTGGTGAACCAACAATAACATCGCAAATGATAAAAATAATAAAATCTAGCTAACCGACAACGACTTTGTAAATCATAAAATTTAGCAAAATGATAATAGTATCACGAATTATAAAATCACAAAATCAAACGAACTGACAACAACATTGCAAATCCTTTTCATAAAATCGAGCAAATAGATAATGCATCACAAATTATTTTCACACAATATGATGAACTAACAATGCCATCACAAATCATGAAATTGTAATGTTCAACAAACCAACAACGGCATCTCAAATCATAAAATCAAGCGAATCGACAATTGAACTGCAAATCATTTTCATAAATATATGGCGAACCAACAATGACATCATAAATTATAAAATTATAAAATCGAGTAAACTAACAACAACATGGCAAATCATTTTTATAGAATCAAAAAAACCGATAACGGCATCATAAATCTGAAAATTATAAAATCAAATAAACTAACAATGGCATCGCATATCAAGAAGTAATAAAATCAAGTAAAAATGATGATAACATCGCAAATTATTTTAAAAATTTGAGCAAACCGATAACATCATTACAAACTATTTTCATAAAATCAAGCAAATCGACGAAAGCATTGCAAATTATTTTCATGAAATCTAACAAACCAACAACGACAATCATAAAATTATTAAATCAAATGAACTAACAATGACAATGCAAATAAAAAATAAAAAAATAAAATCGAGCAAATCAAAAACTACGTTGAAATTATGTTCATAAAACCCGATGAATCGACAATGGCATTATAAATTATAAAATTGTAAAATCAAGACAAGCTGAAAAGCAGCATGCAAATACTTTTCATAAAATCGAACGAACCATCAAGACATTGCAAATTAAGAAATTATAAAATCAAGTAAACCGACAACGACATTGCAAATCTTTTTCATAAAATCAAAAGATTCTAACACCTAGCAAATCAAAAAATCATAAAATCAAGCGAAGAAACAATGACATTACAAATTCGAAATCATAAAATCAAGTGAACCAATAACAACATCCGAAAATCAAACGAACCTACAATGATATCATTAAATCATTTTTATAACGACAAGAGAGCCAACAATAGTATTGCTAAATCATTTTCACAAAAACAAGGAAATTGACAATGACATTACTAAATTATTTTCACAAATTCAAGTAAATCAACGATGTCGCAAAATCATTTTCGAGAAAATCAAGTAAATTGACGATGGCGTCATATAATCATTTTCACAAAATTAAGAAAACTAATAATGATGTTGCATAATCATTTTCACAAAGACAAGCAAACTAATAACCGCATTGCAAAACCATTCTCACAAAATCAAGTAAATAAAAAATATCATCACTAAATTATTTTCATAAAAACAAGTGAAATAACAATAACGTAATTAGTATGATTTGTAGCGTCCTTAACCTAATTCCTTACAAAAACTTCGTATAACTTAGCCATTTTAGTTCTAGAAGACTCAATTAATCATAAAATATCACTTAGGACCGTTAAAACCTCATATTAGAAAGATTAGGATTTTTTTTTTTGAGCGAGCGAGTTACACGGCCGTGTACTTGCCCGTGTAACTTAAAACTCATTTTCCCTTGAAAATAGAAGGTTACACGACCTTCCACATGGGCGTGTACCTTCCCATGTACGTTTCTACCCAAAACAAGGGTTTTTCAGCCATAACACTTCAAACCTAATCAACAACATTCTTTCCACTTACAACCCTTGGATATTCAATCAAAACCACTTTTTCTTTGTTCATAAACACGTCACAAAACACCTCCAAGAGTTCATATTTACATAGTTACATATACAATTCAAAAATCTCCTAGGATGCATATGCTCGGCATAATGAGAGAGAGGAGAGGGAGATCGCCAACCGACTCGTCACTCATGACATGAATTAAACAATAAAAGATGACTTTAACTTTCACTTCTTCCTTCTTAGTACCTAAAAAGATAATTGCATTTTTAATAAGATGTTACTCAAAGAGAGAACAATAATCCATTGAAACTATAACATGCAATCACGTCATCCAAGTATCATTACATATAAACAATACAGGTAGTTGATATGACTCTAAGATTACATGCTTTTCTTTTTCTTATCGGTTATAACTTGGACATGTCAAGTTTCGCCCGGTACTTGTAACTTGTAAACTTGTATACATGTATTGTCGGCCGACTTTTATAACTTGTAGTTGACTCATTGGGTCCTTGTAAACTTGTATTTGCGAAACTTGGACAAGTCAGTCATAACCTTAACCTCTTAGTCTTGCATATATCATGAATGTTTCACATATAACATGTACAATATCCATGGCTTACACCATGGTACATATCCATTATAACATCAATAAACATAACGTTTGCGTCAACTAGCAAATGACACATCATTCACATCATAATATCAATATCAATAAACATAATATTGTTATAACATCAATAAACACAACGTTTGCATCAACTAGCAAACGGCATATCATTCACATCATAGTATCAATATCAATAAATATAATATTAGCACTCAATAGCAATAACACATCATGGCACAACTATTATTATGTAACTCACAAAAATGACGTCTTTGTCGTTTATCAATGCGTCGCATCTTGCACCTCACGCTCCTTGACGTCTATAAACACATACACGTATATTTTTATAAGTCATTTTATCATGATTAAACTTCTAAATATGCTCAAGGTACAAAATATGACTTTAGGGTTAACTTATTTCTTTATAGGTACTTGACCCATTTTCACTCTTTCTACCATAAGTCCCAAAATACAGATTCAAATGATGCAATTCTAGTTTCACATGAAATTAGACTCATAGGGCTCTAACATATCCAAAAATCAAGTCTAGGTACGAAATACACAACTCATGGTGAGTTTCTAAAAATCGAGTTGCTGCCATTTCTTTATGGGTACTTGACCCCTTCACAGTTCACACTCTTTGTACTATAAATCCTAAAATACAAGGTAAAATGATAAAATTCCAGTTTCACATGAAACTAGAATCAAAGGGATCTAACATATCCAAAAATCATCCCAATATTCCATATACATGATTTATTCTAGATTTTCAAACTCTAACTAGTTTCCAACACCCTTATTACCGAGCAGTCTGCAAACAAACAACAATAAATCTAGATTGGGACATGATCAAGACCTAATTCTTTTTTAAAAAGAACTAGACATATCAATATAAAACATATCCAAAAATCATATTGAAATAATCAACACCCAAAGAATACCATATTTTTAAAGTTGGCACACTAATCTGCCAGCATCGGATCATCTAGAACAACATGTGTTCAAACCATCATAACCCGAAATATACATCACTAAATACCAAACCCTTTCATAGAGAGATAGATAAGACACAAACCAACAATTTGTATTCTTACAACTTGTTCCAGATCTGACCCTAAAGTCTCGAAATCAAGAGTGCAAAACAGAGCTGGAGATGAATTTACTTAGATTTTCATCTTGATCATCCAAATTTGACAAAGAAATGGGTTTTTTCTCTCTTTCTCTCTCTCAAAACGGGAAACCAGATGGGATAAGAAGAGATAATGATCAGGTAAGCAATCTTGATAAGGTTGTAAAGATATTTTAGCAAAGTTCGTTTTGGTCCCTCAAGTTTTGACTTGTTTTTATTCTAGTCCCTCAACTTAGATTACATTCAATTGAGCTCCTATTTCTTCCTATTATTCAAAATGCTTATTATCCAATACCCCACTAACGTATCATCTGCAAGTATAATTATATGCGTGTAATTCATAAGTATGCGTGTATGCATAAACAAGTATATGTTTTTGGGACGGGGTTATTACATGATTAGCATGATTTTTATGTTTTTTTAACATTAAAATTTTTTATGTTTATTGTAGTATATTTAATGAATTAAAAATAAGTTAACAATTTTAGATTTTGTAAGAAAAATGATGAATTTAAGTAAAAAAACCCAAGTAAAAGCAAGTAGAAGCGCAAGCCACCAAGGAGTAAACGCTCCTTATTCTGGTATGAAACGACATGCCACACGTCATCTTGTTTGTTACGACTAACTACATCGCCGTCTGCACGAACAGCCTCCCCTCTGATGGAAACGCACAAATGTTTTCTTGCTTAGGGTTTAGAAACTGAGGACAAGGAAAAGGGTGCCTCTTGATCAATTTGGCAATATGGTTGTCGTCAAAACTACGAGAGGTTTCAACTTTTGGAGTAAAGATTGGGGCTTTTGGAGCTTTCAATGTATTTTCTCATCAATGCACATGACTTGATGTTCAATTCTTTGCAACTTTACTCCAATTCCTGTCGCTCAAACCTCTAGCTATTTGTTCTCAACGATACCCACATCGCCAAATTCATCAAAAGATTCCCACCGAAGACCTCTTCATCCAAAATATGATTATGTCGTCACCTTTGAATTTTTGATGTTGAAACGAACTTGATTAATTTTTCACCCTGTCTCTTGTTAACTGTCATGTCATCATTTTGCTGTCTCTTTATTTTTTGTTTGCTGCTGCTGCTGCTGCTGCTGCTTATGCATTGTGTTTTTGCCATTTTGGTTGATTTCTCCAATTCGAAGGTTATTTGGTTGTTGCTTGTGCCTCAGGTTGCAAGTGCTAGCTTTGATGAAAAATGAAGTGTAAATATAGTTATAGTTACGAGTTTGGAGCCAGAAGGCCCTTGAAGCAGTTCCTTTGTTGCACGCAGGTCCCGACTTGAGAGGTATGCTTTGCAGGAAGTGAATGACTACCAGATTTTCTAATTTAAGTAGAAGAGGAACCCTTCTTGACTTATGCTTGCTGCCTTTAGAAAGTTTCTGTTGTCCATGACGCTGTTGGAAGGAAAAGTTTCAAGGCAGTGGGTTGTTTTTTTTTTTTTTTTTTCAACAATGGATACCAGCCTTAGTTTATAGCCACCATCTTGGGCGTCACTGAACTCGGACAAGAGAAATAGTCCTTCGTGTCCCTTGTTTAATTTTTATTGTCAAAAGCTTAGATTAAACGATAATGCTTTTGTTTATGCAAGTTGTATCTGAAGTCTTTCTCTCTCTGTTGAACAAGATGTTCTTTCAGTTATTCACATGATAGAGATACAAGTTCTCCAAAAATATGGCATGCATGGCAGCGTTTTCAGCTGGAGGTAATCTCTTAGGATGTACCTTGAATATGGACCAGAGGTGAAATGGGTTAAAGAACAAGTCCATTATCAGAACACAGTTCCTTAGTTTTGCCAAAATAGGCAACCATAAATTTTTCATTGAACTTGAATTGCTGGCCTTCAAGGTTTTCTTTTGTCTTTCGAAGAATGTATACATCTTTTTTATTTGATCTAATATAAGCTTAGATTGATGCATCCACTTCCAGTGTTTACAAATCAGCTAAACAGAGCAAATACTCATCAGAGTAGACAAAAGTTGATGTTTCTTATCTCATATCATTCAGTTTATGCCATCTTATCTTCATCTACGTCAAAAGCCACCCCTCCTTATTTTGTCTCCTCTTGCATAGACAACAGTCCTGTACAATCGTTAAGTTTTGGAAGGTCCTTGCTGATTAGATACAGAAAGGAAAATCAAAGCTTTCGGCGCTCTCTGAACCTATATGTCCTCCACGAGAGCTTCCGTTTCTTGGTGTGGATTTGGATCATCATCAAATCCATGCATCATGTGCTGCTTGAAAGCTCCTTCGGCTTAAGAGAAGTTTCTGAAGGCTGTGGAGAAATGCTAGATAATTTGGGAAAACTTGGCTTAACATCCCACACTCAGTCTTTCTGTTTTGGCTACCTCACCGAAACGAAGAAAACTATTGAAGTATAGTTTTAACATTAGATTTTTAATACACGTTATGCTTGTGAGTTGGATAAAATACATAAATTTTTTTAAAAAAAATTATTATATTTTGATATCTTATGTTAGATTATGCATTTATTAAAATACATCAAATTTTATATTACCTGATTATTCTTTATATTTTTTATAAAAAAAGTTATTTAATAGTATAAAAAATGTTAAAACCAATAGATTTTTAACTAAAAGTTTATTTTGTAATTTTTTTTTGCTTTAAATTTTTTGATTAAAAAAAAACAAAAAAAGGATCAAAGTTACAAAAATGAAACAAAAAAGAGGGATTGAAACCAAACAAAAAATATTTTGCGGATTGAAAAAACTATATGTAAAAAAAGAGAGATCAAATTGCAATGTTAAAAAAACTTTCACTATAAATGTATTAAAAATATTTTAAAATTATAAAAATAATATTACATAGTGAAAGGAATAATATTTTGAGTGTGTGAATAATAAAATGAGTGTGGAAAAATAATATTTCAAATAATGAATGAATAGTAAATTTTAGTTTTATTTATAATATCTCATCAGAGCAGGTACAGATGCTTCGGATCAACAACCAACTCAAGAATTTCGTTTTGTTGAAAACTATCCATCGTTCTTTCTTTCACAAAAATCTTTGATCTCAAATAATGCTGGAGATCAAAAGAGTACTCCCAATTCAGTGCCTCTTACCTCATAAATACTTGTGGGTTCCCATTATAATCTGCTTCATCAGCTTCTAAATATATCCACTTTGATACCCCCACAAAAACCTGACAGTCATTACGTGATCAAATCCCATGGTTTCCCCCACTCCCAAATCTCAAAAATAGTCACAAGAAATACTAAACTTCTTGTGGTCAGCCCTGAAGTGCTTTTTCCCTAGCTTCAGTTTCTCTACTCAAAAGGTGCTTCGGCTTCAGATGCTGCCAATATTTTATATAGCAACTTTCATCTTTTGGACAGAAGCTTGCCAGATTTATATAAACCCTTGTTACAACTATTTTTGGAATTTGGTTCAATCTGATGAAAAGACTATTGTATAGTTCTTAAACGTTTTTTGATATTATGGATTATGATCTTGAATCCACTTTGAGTCCTGACATCAGGTTTCTAGTGGCATAGTGTTAAAAAAAGATAGTTACCTTACATGACGATAACAAAGCATTCCGCTATTGTTATCTGACATGTCAGGTGTTCTGACACTATTTTATTCAGATAACAATAAACAATGATGTTACGGTTACATTATGTCGTTATTTATTATTATATAACTATGTTATACATATTATATTTAAAAAAAAAAAACCATTTCAGGTTGAAATTCAGCCAGAGAGCAGACATCTTGCTTGCTTGCAAGTTGCAACCCACGTGATGGAATAAAAATCAAATACCATCAAGTACAGAGATCTGAGAACATGTCATGCTTCATTAATAATTTAGAATTACAGGGATAGATCACTACAAAACTGCATCATCAAGTGTTTTGGTTTTATCCTTGATGGTGGAGTACTTTATTTATCGGACAATTTAAACCAACAATGGAATGCGTGAAAGCAACATTAGAATATTCTGGTGTTTGAAATTTAGACAAGGCTCCGCGCACCTGGAGACAATAGAATCTGCCTTTAAAGATGTTTTGAGTTGAGTATTCAACAATTCCCATTGAAGCTGGCCCATTTGGAGTGATTTTTTTTTTTTTAATAATTTCTTGAAATCAAGTGTCTTTCTTTATAAGCAAGCCCATTCCTGAAGAAATGAAGTGCCGGTGCCACACACGGATTTGAACATGGATCTTCCTTTACTTCTTTGTGTGTTACTAAGCATATGCATCTTGAAATTCATACATTCAATGCTATGGGTTCCATGGAGAATCCAGGTCCATTTCAGAAAGCAGGGCATAAGTGGCCCTAGCTACCGTCCGATCACCGGGAACACGCCCGAGTATCTTCGTCTATTTCGTGAATCGCGGTCCAAGTCAATGTCTTTTAACCACGATATCATCCACCGGGTAGCCCCATTTTACTACGAGTGGTCACGCAGGTATGGGAAGACGTTTCTGTATTGGTTTGGATCGAAACCAACATTGGCTGTATCTGATCCTGAGATGATCAGGGAGGTTTTCATGAACACAGATGGTGGGTCGTATGAGAAAGTGCGAAATAATCCTCAGGCTAAGCTGCTCTTCGGGCAGGGGCTTAATGGCTTGGCTGGTGAGGAGTGGGCTCTTCATAGGAGGATCGCAAACCAGGCTTTTTTGATGGAGAGGGTTAAGGTTAGTATCTCTGCACATGTTCCATTTTCACTGGGCAAACCATTCAGCTGGCAGTTATGGCTGAACTTATAGTCACCCACCCCTGTTTAGGATGTTCTTAACGTATGGTGGTAATGCATATATAATAAGTTTCCAACCTTAACCCAAAAATTTTTCAACCTGTCGTGCCAAATTTTTTTCTGACAGTGTTGGGTGCCAGAAATTGTGGCAAGCACTACCGAGATGTTAACCAAGTGGGAGGAAATACGAGGATCGAAAGATGAGTTTGAGATGGATGTGCATAAAGAACTCGAGGACCTGACATCAGACATTATCTCGAGAACGGCTTTTGGAAGCAATTATGAAGAAGGGAAGCGTGTGTTTTTGTTACAGGACCAGCAAAAGCACCTTGCCTACCAGGCCTTCGGAAATGTCTATATTCCAGGTTTCAGGTATTTTTTTTTCTCCTATGGTACTGAGCTGAAATAATTTGAGAGTTTAATCGCGGACTTCGTCTATGCACAGGTTTTTGCCCACCAAGAAGAACAGAGAGAGGTGGAGAATCGAAAAGGAAACTCGTGAAGCAATGAGGAATCTGATAAAAACTAACAGCAATGGAATAGAAAATTCAAGAAATCTTCTTAGTTTACTGATGTCTTCATATAAAAATCAAGATGGCGTGGAAGAGAAGTTAGGGGTAGATGATATTATAAATGAATGCAAGACCTTCTACTTTTTAGGAAAGGAATCTACTGCCGATCTTGTGACATGGGCACTTCTCCTTTTAGCATTACATCAAGAATGGCAAAACAAGGCAAGGGAAGAAGTGTTTTCTGTCTGTGGAGGAAATGAACTCCTGGCTGCAGAGAAGTTAAATGACCTTAAAATCGTAAGTTAGTTTCCTTCATTAGCATATTGTGTCAGAGTTCAATTGTTTGAAAGGATGCAGTCGCAATATTGCTCTACCTCATAGTAAAAAATTCCATCTGAAAATTTTATACTATAATGACTAGAAAACTGGCCTGATAAGAACAAAAGGAAATCTCTTTCAATTTTTCTTTAATATCTAGTTTCTAAGGTGAATGCTTAATCATGAATTTCGAGCTGTCTTGAATGGATGAACGAATCAAAAGTTGGAAACAAAGAATAGGAAAACATGGCTTGAGGAATGGTAACCTCATGATATCAGCTAAAAATTGATTAGAAAATCATGTTTATTTACTTTAGGTAATTATATATAGGTTAAAAGTTCAACATTTGCAGTGTTATGCCTTATACACAGAGGTAGCATATCCTAGCTAGTTCTCATATTTACCTATTTGATTCCTAGTATTTTCGGTTTTTTTTTTTAATGAATGTGAATTATCATTAATCAAAAAAGGAAGAAAGTAGGAGCTCAACCTACTACAAAGAAATGAAAAACTCAAAACAACTAATAATTAACAGAGTTGCTAAAGTTCCATCAATTACCGAAATCACCATATCTAGGATCAACAATGGCTTGTTGTAGGACATTTGTTTGGAAAATCCTGAGCTGCACTAAAGTAATGTAGATGAACTTGATTACTGGTATTTTCTTACAGGTGAACTTGATCCTCAATGAAGCGCTCCGACTTTATCCTCCACTTATAATGTTGATGAGGCATACGTCTAAAAATGTTAAGTTAGGGACCCTCGACATTCCTGCTGACACACAATTCTATTTGGCCTTGCCTTCTGTTTATCACGACACCGATATATGGGGTAAAGATGCTAATGAATTCAATCCCCTGAGGTTCAAGGAGTCTGAAAATCATCTGACTTCATTTCTTCCATTTGGGTTAGGCCCCAGAGTTTGCGTTGGCAAAAATTTAGCACTTATAGAGGCAAAAGTTGTCCTCTCCATGATCATAAAACATTATTCCTTTGTTGTTTCACCCACCTATGTTCATGCCCCAACCCTCTTGATAAGCTTGCAGCCTCAATACGGTGCTCAGATCCTCTTAAGCAGAATTCCAAATTGAAGAACCATTACGAGCTTCAGTTGGTGGCTGCCCTTAAAATAATGACTTCTGTATTCGTATGCAATTTCAAGGTGCAGATTCGATCCTACCTCTGATTGCACCATGTCCCTCTGTATGTGTTTTGTCTTGTCCATCTATTTACAATAAAACTTCTGGTGTGAAAGAAACATGGAAGAGCGGCATTGTTATGAAGATGTTCCTCAGTTGCTGAAGCTGTACAATGAGAAGTTGAATCTGACGAATTAACGGGAGTTAAAAGAGTGGATTCAACAATTGTAAGATGCTGTCTTCCAAACAAATTATATCAACCATGGAATCACTCCCCCTAGCTTTTGTAGGCATTGAAAAGCTGAATCTTACGTGTCAACAAGAAGATCAGCAAGATAGAAAGCATGGGATTAGCATCAGCTGCAATATCCAAAGAATGTTGATTTTGGTGTGAAAATCATTCTTCCAGCATCTGCATGCAATGCAACTGTGTAGAGTTTTGGCTATTGTTGATGTTTCAACTTTCAATCTCTGCGCTTGTTTATCAATGCTTCATGACATGCCGGTTCCCCACCTTTGAATTGATGGGAATAGTTGTCTTGAATCTTCTTATATATGTTAAATTTCTTTATTCCTAGTGACTGATAAATGGAACATGTGCAATGACGACAAGTGAATAATGCTTCTCAAAACCCTACATATACAGGTTTTTCATATTGTAGAAAGGCGAAATAGCAAAGCACAAAGATCTGAGGACATCATGATTCATTAATAATTAGAATTAGAGAGATAGATCACTACAAAACCCCATCATCGAGTGTTTTGTTTTATCCTTGACGGTGGAGTACTTTATTTCTCTGACAATCATAACCAACAATGGAATGCGTTAAAGCAACATTAAGTTCATTGAATTTAAAGTTCAATGAATAGGATAAGGCCTGTGCAAGCATGGTTTTAAATAACAATCATTACATTATATAACAGTCGTTATGTAATGATTCTAGAGCATATCGTTATTGTTATTTTAGTATTATAGTAAGCTGAAATCTCCGACGATGACGCCGATCGTTTTTTAACCATCCGTGATTTAAAACTATGCGTGCAATTGCAACACCAAGAATTTTCTTTTCTAATCAATGTTTTTATGGACTGACAAACTGTTGGTTACCAGTTCTTCCAAATTACACATATACACTTAACTAGGGTGCGATTACACATCCCATTTATGAAGAACATGAAAAATTAATTGCTTCCAGTTAAAATGGCATTCTCTCGCAAGTGAAGTCATACACAGCACGAAAGAAGCTTTTCGGAGCTTCCTCATCTGGCAACCTTAGAAGGTGAGCTACTTTGGAAAACCCTACATGTTGCCTAAGATAGGACTCGTCCTCGATCCCTTCATGGTGCATCTCTTCTTTAAAAGTCTTAGGCTTTGACAACGCCCATTGCATTGCCCATATGGCCAATGGTCGCATGTAGCAAAGGGATCTATATGTATCATCGGTGTTCCAGCCTTCTGGAATCTGGAATGAATAACTGTAACCAAACACATGTACCGTTATTAGGAAATAAATTTAACATATGGGGTAAAACACCAACAACACCATGTTTGAAGAAGTAGTAACTAAAAGAAAACGTAGAGCTATCTAGTCAATTTAGAGATGCAACAATGGTTATGTGTGGTATGTTTTCTGTGCCACCCCAGTGCTGCATGCTGGATACTGTAATATGTCGGCATCACCAGACACATTTACTCTATAGGTTCTATCGGATTCTAAAAAGTGAGAATAGATCACTTCATTTCCATAAAATATCTTTTGTTTTAACTTGTTCCTAGAATGTGGAAGGCCTCGTCTAGCTTTGGACCAGCAAAGCAATGAGCATTGTATTAATACGTAATAAATTTGGTTTATGGCTTAGACTCAATTTTCAGACACACCTGCACGGCTGTTTAATCTAGAGATGAATCCAAGAAGGTTAAGTGCTCTTTCAAAGAAAAATGTTGTTTCATTTAGGAACTTGATAAAAAAATTCCCCAATCGACATTGTCACTTAATATGATTAGTATAAAAGAAGAAAACTTACCCAAGACCTTCTTCAGACCATGCTGTGTTGTAGATACCAAATGCAGTCTGAAAAGCCATTTCCTCCATTCCCTCTTGAATCATAGAAGCAGAAAGAGCATATGTAACACCAGGCCATATTTCTTTTGTTTGCATCGCCGTCAGATCAACTCTTCCATCTGGTAGCATCCCGTTCACAGCCCCACACGTTCCTCCTTTCACCTTCAAGACATTGAACTCATAAATCTTCTCGAGTGCCTTCCTTGCTTTTTCCTCATTGACAATTGGTGAAAGACCACATGCTCTAGCATACCTACGACATAACCAAGCATTATTTACGTATATAGTCCAATGAAACAAGATCCCGTGCCAGTTGCCACTTCATAGTTACGCATCATTAACCACATAAAATTTCTAGGTGTAGCTCTAATCACATAACTTCATCACAAATTTCAGACTTCGAAGCAATTTGGTCGCAATGTCTAGCCTTTTACCAGAAACTGATGCTGACATAATCATATATCACTTCACGTTCTTCTCAATTATTTCCGATTCACATGAATTGCATATATGCTCACGATGCAGATGCAAGATCAGGAGGAGAAACAGAATATCATTTCTGCAGCGTACTTCTGCTAGATACAAAACAAGACAAATCATAAAACAAGCAAGGAAGTTTGGGTAAATCTAAAGAGTAAAGACCCCTTATGCATGGTTAAAAATCAACTCAATACTATCATCAAGTTTTAGCAGGATAGCTTCTAGCATCAGACAAATCTTTTCTGATATGAAACATGGTAAGTTTGGCAAAACGTGAGCATTATTAATCGAATAACAGCAAAGGTTAGGACATAAAGACAGAATAGAATCTAGTGAGCCCAAATATTACAATAGGTAACTAAGAAGACTGGGATGGAACCCTTATAATGCTGAACTAGATTGGGTAATTTGCTGCCAACAGATACCCGAATGCTTGTAAAATATCAAAAGAAAACTGAGATTTTATAATGTGCTGATAAGGAAAAGTGAAGAAAGCAACTAGCCATAAAGCATATAAAAGACACGAAGATAGTCTAGCAAGAAGGCAATAAAATCTTAGTTATATATGAACAATTGGCCTTTCCAATTCATGCAAGTTAGTTTTCCTATAAGCTATCAGCTACTTTGAATTTGATGTACAAAATAGAAACTGAATGATTTGTGCTCACCATTGCCCAGCCAATTGATCAGCTTGAATAGACTTGTTACCACTGCTGTCATAGTTGAAGTAGGAACCATTCCATAACTTGCCATAAACAGCTTTTGCCTTTTGATACTTAATCCAGAAATAATTAGCACATGCATCATCACCAACTTCGCGTGCCATGGCTGAGGTAGCCTGAAGTGCTGCCACCCAAAGCCCACCGCAGTATGCACTTACCCCAGTAACAGACCACGTATCATAGGTTTGATCAGGGATCCCCTCATTCTCGATCATTCCATCTCCGTCCTTATCAAATTGATCCATATAAGCCATTGCAACATATACTGATGGCCAAACAGCTCGAGCAAAATCTTTATCACCAGTAGCAACAACATCCCTGTACAACTGGAGAACAAATTTACAGTTCAAGTCCTTCCACCTTGTTGTACTGAAAAGGTTATAGGCGTTTATTTCAAACCAGGGGTCATTAAGCCCAACATCATGGGGAACAGCACCAAGAACCTTCCGCGGAACCCACTTCCCATCACTCATAATTTGCATTTTACTAGGATCATGCATCATTACTGCCACTGCAAAGTCTCTTTGGAGATTGAGTTGAAGTTTTGGAAATAGCATGATAAGTGCAAAGGATGCATAAAAATGAACATCATAAGTATTCCACATTAGGTATTCAGTTCCTTCAAAATAAAGGAGCTGACCAATATTTTCTTCTCCATTCTGAAGCAACATTGTTCCCAAAGCGGAATTTGATGATACTGGATTATTTAGTTTTTCATATGTAGATGCCATCCTTTCTAGGATTGAAATAGCTGTGTCATTCTTATGAGAAATATCGCTTACATTCTTGAAATCTGAATTGGAGCTTTCAAGGGAAAATTTTCTTTCTCTAACAGCAGTTAAATTTTGCATTGGAGGCAATCCATCTGCAGAAAGTAAGATAGGTCATTTTTGTTAATCAAAGTAAATAAGATTCCTGCTTATGTACATTAAGCTCAAATCCTTGCGTACCTGTCCAAATTGTCCCCCCTGCATTGAGATAATAGAGCTCATTGAAGAGTGTGATGGGGTACCTAGGAAAAATTTCCAAGGTTCAATATTTTTTGTACTTGGAAGATCTTGAATACAATACTTTTTTGCAGGAACCTCATCTAATCTCACCATTCAGGAAGCCTTTTGTCTTCAAGAATAGGTCTTTGCCATGCTTCTATCTGGGATTCCCAATTAGCATGCTCTGGTTTAAAAAATAAGAAGAAAAGTATATTATTATATGTGTATTATGGTTCCATCTACCAGCATTTTCAACAAACTATTGCTCTTTTCAGTATTATGACTGCACATCAAACTGATACAACTTCATTGTTAAGACAAGGTGCACATTCTCTTTAAATCTACTTATTGATGAGAAACTTAAAGCAGTGTCGAAAATATCAAGGATGATTTAAGAATGATATTCTGGTTCCTAATCTTTAGGAAAATATGCACCAGTTTGTGAAGTAGCTCAACGAGCAGAGAAAATTTTTGCATTCCATGAACTTTTCAAGCTATTTCTGAACAATAGCAATATTATTATTCTTCTCAATAGATATTCGGAGATACTTTCCAAGGTAAGAATCTCCAACTAGTTAATGGAAGAGTATGGACATTCCCAAGAACCTAATTCATAGCTAAATAGTCTAACCATTACCGAGAATAGCATCACGTGCAATGTTGGCAGCTGCATCCCCTAGAGTGCCATAGAATTTTGT